CATTCTCTACTCTTTATTGCAATACTATTCTCTCTCTCTCTCTCTCTCTCTCTCGCTCTCTCTCGCTCTCTTTCTCTCTCTATTCCCCGATGTGTTACCCTACCCCTTACCTCGCATCCTGCAGAACCCCGCGAACTTTGGATTCGGCGTGGTCGTATGCTGTGCGCGCCACCGGATTGGCGGGCTGCGACCCCGCATGAATTATTCGGTAACCTAATAGTTTCTTGAGCAAAGAGCACCAGATCGCTGTAGCTATCTTATTTTGCATAACGCATGGTTTCGATGATCTTCGAAAGATCTTCTTTAGAGAGAAAGGTGAACAGAGAAAAGAGTGGATATTGAAAAGTATATGGGAAGAGTGGTTCACAATGAATCATGATCATTATCGATTCGAAGAACATCATCGGTTAAAATGTTTTTTTAAAAATTGCGTTGGGATTTTGAAAAGAGTTGTTGATCGCAATTTTTGTTTTTTTAGAATTGTTACGAGTACTCGACAAAAAATAGATTTATTGTTTTTTTATAGGAATCAATATTCAAAATATTTTTTACCTTTTTTTATTTTTGGAAGATAAAATTTTTTTTTAAATTATTCAACTTTTAATTGAAAAATTGTATTAACTGTTCGTTTATTACTAGTTTGATCGCAATAATTTTTTTAATGATTTTTTTTGTCTTCACTAATCTTGAATATTCATTGTACTATAGATTACTATAGATTATGCATTCTGATTCTATTTAATGATATGTAAAAAATCATATTATTTTATTTAAAAAAACAAAATTGATATTTTTTATGCTTTTATAAGCTTTATGTATCCATTTGTCATAAAATTGTTTATATCTAATTATATATCTCTTGTCATCGTGCAAGTTTGGTTGGATACATTTTTTCCTAATATTCAACAAAGCATTCAACGAAATATTTAGATGATTTCTTTTAGATATCTCACTTTGTTACAATTTTTTTTTTTTTTATAGAATTTGAAGCAAATTAATTTGCATTTATTAATTTCTAATACTATGAAGTAGAAATGTAGAAACTAAATTTCAGATTAAAGAGTTCAAATATTAAGATATAAAATAAGAACAGATTAAGATTCAATCAACAACTTAAAAAAAATTAAAAAATGAATATAGATTTAAACAATAATTATAGTAATTAAATAAATTCTTTATTTAGTTTAAAAATAATAGTGTATAATTAATATATCTATATTATTACCTTAAATCTTTATGATCAAATTATAACAGTTTATTTAAACAATTACAAATCTAATCACAATTTTTCCTTTTTATAATATATAATTATAATTCGTTACAAAATTTTTTATAAAATCATGAAAGAATAACTTGGTAAAGTTAATTTTTTTGAATTTTTTATTTTTAATAGAAAAAGTATTTTAGAATAATATATTAAATACTTAAGATATTTCAATACTTCAACCTTAAAAATATGGCAATATTTCAAAAATCTTATTTCGTTTATCGTTATTTCTATTATTAAATATATTTTATCAATATGAAAAAAACAAAAAACAATTCTTTTTATAAACAATTATGAAAATAAAGAATAAAAACTATAAAAATTTTATAAAATGTTGAATTTTATCTAGATTATTATCGAAGATGGAAGATCTTCGATATTTTTTCAACTAATAATTTGAACAGAATTAATCGTCGTGATAGAAATAATATAGATTAAAATCTATTTATGAATTATGAATCTGTTGGTTCAATAGTGCAGAAATTGCTTTGGAATTGGTCCGATGATAGCTTTGCTTCGGTACAGATGCTGGCTAAGAATTTCTTGAACAAACAGCGACGAAATAGACGCGACGAAGAATATTTGATACGAGAATATTCTTCATTTTCCTCTGTTTCTTTCTCCTTCTTCCTTCGTAATATCTATTTTCTATAATAACGAAACATGCTCACGAATTATTCGTTATACTAAATTCCAGATCACATCAAAGCAATTTCCATCATTGACTGTGTCATTGAGTCAAGCTGTCTTTGAAGAGTCAATGTCGACATTATCAATGGCAAACTTTACTTTGGTAAATTGTATCGTGTAATGATAACACGTTCTTAATAATAGCTTCGTTGCTTAATATATATATTGTCTAAATTTCTTCTTAAATATCTAAACAAAACGTTCCAGCTTAATTAATATTATTAGCTGGAATTAATATTAAAAATTAATATTATTAATCTTTGATTGTCACATTTATTGACACTTAAATTATTGATCTGTCTAAATTTTATCTTAAGTGTATGTCAGTACAAATAAATGATTGAAAAATAAAAAGATATTATAGAAATATTACGATTTCTATTTTTCAAAATTTAATATTCTTAAATTATATACACAAATAAATGATTGGATAATAAATATTATATATTTAATTAAATCTATATTTTTTAAAAGTTAATTTTATCAAAAAGATATATTGACTTTTGTTTACTTGTATATTTGGAATTTAAATAATAAATAATTCAGATTTTATTATTTTCATAGCTATAATAATTTTGACATTCTAAAATAGCAGAATTTTAATACTTTTTTAATATTTTTAATTTTTTAAAAATATATTTTGTTAAAAATATGAATAATTAATTATTTTTATAAATAGACTAATTGTTAAATAATTTTTATTCTTTTCTATAATCATTGAACGAATATTTATTTATTATTAGTATTTATGTTATAAGAAAATATAATATAAGATAAATTTGAAAAATGTTTGAGCTTTTAAGAAATTTTCAAATTTCTTAATTTATGAAATTATAGTATAATATTCTAACTTGGAATTTCTGGTCGAGTCTTAAACTATTTTAGCTGTTAAATTTCCAATGAGTTTCAACAGATATGTAAAATTTAATTTTTACTTATAATTTAATGTTTTATGAAAATGTTTTTTTAATATGAAAATACAAGTAGTAAAATAAAATAATTATATTTTTCATAAAATATGATTTATTTTTAAAAATTATATTATTACTATAATAAAATTATATTAGATATATTAAATATAATATAAATATTAATATAATAAATTATTGATTTTTGAACATAATTTATAAATAAAATTTAAATATTATATCGGATACCGAATTAATTTATGTCTGATTTTATAATATTTATAATTCTAGAATGCAATTCTTCATAACTTCAATTCCTTTTTATTATATCATTAATTAATATTATTAATTAATTTAACACGATCCATGATAATGGCCAAGGAAAGTAAAACATTTATATATTTTATATATCAACAGAAATATATTCTTTATTTCGATCAAGATGAATTCCAAAAAGATCAAAATATAAAGAATTCAATAGAATTATCATTTTTCTCTAATTATATATTCTAATGAAATGTTAAATATTAAAAATCATAATTTTTAATTAAAGATTTAAATATACGATATAGATTTAAATTTCTGCAACTTCTTCTCTTTTTTTTAATACATGGAATATTTTAACAAAAATTTAACCAAAACTCTTTTCTTTCGATTTTAAAGATTCTATTAAATTTTTTTATGGATTAATATCGTTGGTAATATTTGACTAATTATAAATAAAAATTTTAATAAAATTATAAAATACAAATTATAAAAGTGAAAAATTATAATTCAATCATTTCGATAAATCATCTATTTCGACAAATAATTATAAATAATATATCATATCATATTTTTATTATTTACATTTATTCCTATATTTATTCCTTTTGTTTCTTATATACTTAAAATATACATATTTAAAATTAAAATTTTCAAATTCACTCGTCTCTCTATTTTATTTTATGGATTTTTTTTAATAATTGTATAATAAAAATTGTACAATATACATCTTATAACTGTAATAATGTTCACAATTACATATAATTATATATACATAATATTAATATCGGTAATTTTAATATCATTATTATAAAATATCATTATAAAATAAAGCGGAATATTCTATGCTTTAAAATTAATAGAAATATCAGGCGTGTAAACCAGCTCGTAGAATCGATACGTAACACGATTCAGAAGATGTTCGATAACACTGGGGTCCTTTTATATTAGAATTTGCCACTTGCGGGGGAATATGGTTCTCGCGTTGGGTGCCCAGATTATGAATTTCGGTGACGGGGTTGCGCATCAAGTTAATCCACCCCTGTGTCCGGGTGCGAGAATGATGCATCCCTCCAATAGATGATGTAATCATTCGTTCGAGGGGCGATAGAACAGCCGAAACGAAAATTACTTTCTCGAATGTGCAAGCAGTGACGAGCAATTTAAGGGAGCATCATCCGAAAGAGGGAGAAAAGGGGTGGTCGATTTCGTCGTCCCGGATATACAAGACAAACATTGTGATTTGAATGGCAATCGGAGGTTAAAATTACGTCCGCCTTGGGAACTGATGCAATTAAGAACAATTAAACGCAAAAATTAAATAATTCGGAACAGTTCGTTCATTTTTGATTATTCATCATATTTGATTTCTTTTTTTCTCTTTTTTTTTTTTTGTCTAAAAAGATCGATGAAAATTTGAAACATGATCGGAAACTCATAAAAATTTAGAAATCAAAAGATAAACTCTGAAATTTTTACAGTATTTAAATTTTCTTTTTCTTTTTATTTAATATTTTTTTAAATTAAAAAGTATAAATATATATATTACAAAATGAAATTTTCTTAAAAACTCTTGCTTTCGAAAATTATTTTTCATTGATAATTGTTGCTTTAATTGTAAAAACTAATCTCAGACAATTATTCGAGAAATAATATTCATCGAGAAAAAATATTCTCGATATGAACTCTTGTAAATTTTACTTTCAAATATACTATACTATTCTAAAAACTTGTGAAAGATCTAAACATTAAGTTATCATTAGTTATTTTTTTTTATTTTTAAAAAAATTTTTTTTCTATTTAAATTTTATACATAAATTTTTATCCTTATTATTCATATATTTATTCAATATTTTTCAAATTTGATATCATACTTGATAAATAGTTTATCCAAAATAACCGATAAGATAATTTATGTGAAAAATATTAAAAGAGTATCGTTCTCGTGAAAAAATCATCAATTAATGCTGAAAATAATCCAAAACAGTAAAAGAGGTTTAATGTTAAATTTATAAATTAATGCTAATTATATTAAAATTATTATTAAATTTTTTTAAAACAACATTATCTTTTTCTTTTATATTTATATTAATGTAATATTTTTGAAACATGCAGATAATAAAATAAAAATAATGATTATAAATGGATTTTCAATAAAGAATTTTCAGTTAAATTCGACTTATTAATATATTTTATTATAAATTTGATTTATTAGCATACTTTGTGAATATATTGATCCACTAAAATGACAACTTCATTAACGTTAAAAATGCAATAATGAAAACGATTTTTAATGAAAAGTTAATGTTGCTTTTGTGAGCAGTATAATTATTACAATGTATTCATATATCCAATTTTAAAATGATTTAAACTTTGTATGAACGGTATAAAAATGTAATAAAATAATTTTTTATTATATCAATAATTTTATCATTCACCTTTAAATAATTTTCTTTCAAATCGAGATTTATTTTATATTTCAAAATTCCATCCATCTATGAAATATGATTTATATATAATATATAATATTTATTAACAACATTTATTTCAATAATATATTTTTCATAGAGATAATTAAATTTATAACATAATATAAATGACTAATAATAAAATTGTTTTATCTTCAATTACTACAACTATTTAATCAATTAATTTCTAAGATTAGAAAATAGAATATTTTTCAAAAATAAAATACTTAGTTATAACAACTCTTCTGAAATGATTTACAAAAGTTATAAACAAAAATCGAAATCAGAAACATAATATCAACTCGAACTATAATATACAAATTAATACATTTATAGAATATCTTTAAAAGATCGATTTTAAAAGCCAAAACAAACACAAAACTTAACGAAAATCAGTTAAGACTTATTTAAGTAACTGAAGTTCGTATAAGGCAAAGATAGAGCGAAATAACAATATGGCGAAGATAGAGCTGTCTCGCTTCTTCCAATGCAAATTTCAATTACATATGATTTAATAAAAAAATCTCAATTGATATTTTTATTATACATCAACTTTTGTTTATTTTAGTCTCCAAAATAGATTCTTCATTCTTTATTACAAATTGAATATCAAAAAGTCTTTAAAAATTACAATTAAATATTATCACTGAAATGTTCGAAGAACGAATATCATACAAAATAATGCAAGATGAACAATGGAATAGATGATGTTTCCCATTGAATTATTTCTCTGTTTTGCGTAAAGCTCTAACCACGTTTAATCGAACCGCGTGATCAAATATATCTGCGATTCCGCGCAAGGAACTGCCACTGAAATAGCACTGTCCCGCAAATACACACCGATGTTTGGTATATATATTGTATATTGGTGCCGGTGCAAAGTTTTCGCGAATCAAAATAGCGTTCGGTTTTACGCGAGGCTGACAGCACTTCGTCACGTGCTTCGTTTAATGGAACTCGCTCTAAGAGTTATTTCAAACTTATGTGTCATGCATTCTAGTTGCGCACAAATATAACTCTGTGCGACGCGCGTGTGCTGGTACACGACCGTACAGGGGAAAACGTGTCCGATCGGCGACGATTTCGCGCGCGAGTATGCGCATTCTTTTCCACGATCCAAAGAAATGGGCGGAAGCTGAGAATTAACGCGTTTATTGTTGATTCAATTTTTATTTTTTTAATTACGTTACATTAATGTTTTTCAAATTTTTCTCGAATTATGAATTTCTTTTCTTTTTAATACTTGAATATGTAATCTGCGATTCGTTCTCCTATATGTGATAAGAGAAATTAAAAAAAAAAAAAATAATATAATTTTAATAAAATAAGTAATGTTAGAGTTAAATAATGAAGGAATTATTCTATATTCTATGTTATATATAGGATGTTTCAATAGAATGTGGCAATATACTTATATTAAAATAAATAAGTGCTAAAAGTTATTAATCAATCTTAAATATTTAATAACATATTATTTATATATTACATATGATGTACATATGACAAATCTATTTTTTTTTTAAGAGAAATTATGCTCACAATTAATGTACTAAATGTTTTTATTTATGATGTCAAGTGACATATACATATCACAATATATGAAATAAATGAATGTCGATAAAAAAATAATAAATATAAAAATAAAATATAATACGTATATGTTAACAGAAATGTAATTTTATATTTATTATAACACATTATATTTTATTTTATAATTAAATTTTTTTCATATTTTTATATTTTATGCAACTTTCGTACAGTACCAGTTACGACTTAATCTTATGTGATATAAATTATGTTATATAAATTATATGTATTTTATAAAATATTATTATTTTATTTTTCCGACATTCCTGAAACATTTATTTTCATCAGAAGATTTTTTATGATTTTTTTGATTGATTTCTTATTCAAAAGTGATTCAATTAATATGTAACTATATCATTTTTAAAAATTAAATAGATCGATCTAAAGTTTGCATATATAGATAATACTTGAAAAATTTTTAATTAGAAATCATTTGAAATGTTTTAAAGAGATATAGAATATTGTTAATTTAAAAAAAAATGAAATAATTTAAAAAAATTTTTTAATATTTTTGCATATGTAAAAACTGTGGATTTTTTGAAATTTGAAAAAATAATAAAATTATAACATTGGATAATTGTGTATTATATCAGATAAGAAGATTTAATGTAATATTTCTAATGGGAATATTTAGTTTCTTGTCATTAATATAATTTTTTACGTTTGCTTTGAAACAATTTTAAGAAATTACTTTATTATTCATTTTATTATTCAATATTTTATTATTTATTCTTTAAATATATTAATAGAATATAATAGATATGTCTATGGAAATGAATTTCATGAAATGATTTTTAAAAAGAATATCATTAATAATATAATATTAGTGAAAAAGGAAATTTAATTCTTAATAAATTATTATTTTTTTTATTTTTCAAAATTAAAAAAAATTGTAATAATTTGAAAATCTATTTGTACTTATGTTGTCATAAAATTTTTTTTATTATATTCCATTTATTTTTATTATTTGATACAAAATTTTAAAATGAAAATATGTAATATTGCATAACTTTACTATTTTATAATTTTAATTTTAATAAAAAAAAATATGAAAATAAAATTAAGATTTTGCTGAATGTTTCCTATAAAAAATTTTTTAACTTTTTATAAAAAACTTATAGATGAAAAAAGTTTAGTTTCATCCAATTTTTTTAAACTTCCATGATTGTATATTTCTTTAAACTAATATATTATGCAAAAAATAATAAAATCTATTATGCTTTAATCTATCTATGCTTTTTTACATTTTTTATTTTTATTTTTATATTTTATAATCATAAAATCATAAATAAGAATTTTTTTATATATAATTTAAAATATTTATGCATTATATAAGTGCAATTTAATTTTACTGAATAAATGCATCATTTTATTGAAACATTAAGTAATAGAAAATAAAAACAATTGTAATTTATTAATCGGAAAAATAGCAAGAAATAATTCCTATAAATAGATTAACTAAAGATAATACAATAGCATCATATCAGAATATTTATAGCATATTGATTAGCAAAGAAGATCAGACTTACAAAGAATGAATATGTAGATATATAACTTCCAAGTCACGTGACATTGTAAAGAGTCAACTTAAATGTATTCAAACAACTTCAATGTAAACAAATTCGAGTTCAATGGTAAGTTTAACAATTGTAACTTTTTTTTATTGCTTAAATAGTAATAGTAATAGTAATATTTAAACTGCTTGTTTAATAGAATATAGTCAAAACATTTTGTGAAAACTAGAATGAAAATTATAGAACTATGAATTTATAAAATATATGTAAATACAAATTAATTGAAGAAATTGTCTTATTTTCTTTAATTAATTTATGGGATTATTTCTTATTATATCATTTATTTTTATTATATTGTTTTTCGTAATTTAATCATTACTTTTTTATTATATATTAGCAAATTAATTAAAAAATTGTAATTAAAATAAAATAAGCTACTTGAACAATTAATGCTTAACTTATAAATAAAAAGAAAAAAATTACACATGTAACAAAACAATAAAATCAATAAAAATACACATAAAAAAATTCATAAAAAAAGAATGTAAAATTATCAAAATTCGTTCGTAATTTAGATTCGTTACAATATCGAAAACAATTCGTTGTATCTGATGTTTTAATTTTTAATTATTTTTTTCAGTGCAATCGTAATCTGTATATAAAACTTTCTCAATATTTCTCACATCATTTCGTGATAATTTTTTATTGTTTTGCTTTATATTTCGCAACCATTAAATCGTAATTATTTGCTGTTATTATAATCGCAATGAGAATTTCATCGTAGTTTATTCATTGAAGATACACATGCTTATTCAAGCATACATGTATTTTCTATTCCTATGAAATTTATCCATCAAATTAATTCAACATTATAAATTACTTTTGCCAGCTTGACACCTCTACGCAAATTCTGAAAGATAATTACACCGCGAGAAATAATGGAGACCCTTTCGCTTCAACTTGGCGAACTTACTATCGGAAGACAAGATAAATTAGAATCGAGCGATGATATTTCATGTGTATCACTTTCAATCAATGAATTGCCGATTAGCAATGTTATTAGTTTCATCATTTTTCGTCAGATCGAATAGTATATGAATTATAAATTCCTCATAATCGTTATTGACGATATATTTCTAATACTATTTATTTATGTATCTATTTTTTGCTTATTGCTAAATTATTTTAAAAATTTTTAAAATTTTGATATTTCTCATATTGTTTTCTAAAATTTCATTTTAAATTATAAGCTAATTACATTAATAAATATTTGATTTTTTTAACGTTCAATCGGTGTTTTTTTATAAATTATAATATACTGAATACGAATCTATAAATTTTTTTCCAAAATCTGTAGTTTTGAACAAATAAAATTGAAAAAAATTGTAATTTTGTGGTTTTTTAAAAAATTAGTTTTTATTAAAAATCTAATCTAAATTTATTGTGTTAATAATAATAAGTGAAGAATTAATTTTTATTTAAAATCTATTAATTTTAAATTTATTGTATTATATATAATAAGTAAAGAATTTTTTTTTAAATTCTGGCAAATTTTAAAAAATTATTTTTATCTAAAATAGTGTTAATTTAATATGTTGAATCGTTCTCGACACAAAATAAACTTTTCGACTAAAATGATATTATGATATCTAAATATATTTAAATGAAAATCAAAATTAAAGATATATCAAAACGTATTACAAATATTTTTCAATTTAAAAAAAAATTTAATTATGTCATGCGATAGAACAAAATTTTTTACAAAAGAAAAAAAATTACAAAATCATTTCTATTTCTAATATAGAAATATATAGTTAGACAAATACGCGAAGACAGTAGTATTCAATGAAGACAATCGCATTTCGATTCGTTGTGCGATAAATGAAATGATTATGATATTATGATATTATTATAACTGAGTATCATTACATATGCATTATAAATACTGCATATTTTTCCAAATTATTTCTTTTCTATATTAAATTTTTCTACATTAAATATTTCTATATTAAAAATAAGAATAATTTTATAACTTTCTTTAATGCTTTCCTTAATAAAAAAGAATTTATTCTATGGCATGATATGATTAGATTTTTTTTTAGACTTTTAATTTTTTGATAATTTACTTTAAGAGATATAATTCCAATCATTTTGTTCTTGATATGTGTTTTCAAGCATATTCTTTCGAAAAATTTCTAAAAAAATTTTACTTAGTTTGTTTTTTTTTTTCTTTAAAAAGTTATTTTTAGTATTAATTATTAAAAATATAGACATTCATAGACATTTATTTTGCAATAAAAATGTTTCATTTTATCTTATACATTTTGGTTTTCTCAGTACTCATATTATTCATAAAAATATGTCAGTTAAAAATTGAAAGAAGTATATTTTTGCTTGTTATTAATTCTTTTGTGAATGAATGCATAAAATTCATATGAAAATCAATTTTCTTTTTTAAATAGAATCATATATTTTAATACATAATTCACATATTCATTTTAATACAACTTGACATTATTGCTATAAAAAAGTATATCTTTATAAAATAGTATAATTCATATATGTCAATGAATATAAAAAATATTAGTTTAGTAGATATTTCAATTTTAATTTTGCAGAAATGGAAACGTGAACAAGAAAATATTAATTTGTGTGTTCCTTGTTTTTTATATAATAAATTTTATAAAATTCAAAGTATTTTCTAAACTAATAATTTTTATGAAATATCGTGTACATAAAAATATCAAGCTGCATTGATTATATTAAAAAATATATCATTTCATTTAAAAAAAAAAATGACTTTCATATCATTCACCTTTATGTATCCAGTCACAAAAAATTAGTAATATATTTTTATTGTAATATATTTTCTTTAATAAATATTTATTAATTTTCATATGAAAAATTTTTTATTGAAAATAATATTAAAAAAAATCAAGATATCAAAATTTAAGATATTTTAGATATATCCTAACATTTTATTATTATTGATTAAAAAATTTGCTTAAAAAAGCGAAATTTCTTCTCCATCTATTTATTTTAAATATTTATGAGTGATTTTTATATAAAATATTTATGAGTGATAATTTTAAAAATTAATATTCAAAATAAATTTATTCAATATTATTTTTATCCAGTGAATAGAAATATTCCATAATTATTATTTAGAAACAAATTTGAAGCAATGAATTTTGCATATATCAAAATGAATTTATTCATACGTATAATATATATATAGATATAGTAAGCATTCTACAATTCAATATTTTAAATAAACTCTATTTGAATATACAAAATTATGAAAATGATTCATTTTGATTTATTTTGTAAATAATTATTTTTCCATAAAATGTTATAAGCACATCAACAATCACTATCTGTATTGTATTTTCAGATGCAATATAATAGTGATATCAATATCTATTTTTTACGGATAAATAAAATTCGAATAATTTTATTATATATTATATTATATATATTATATACATACTTAGTTGTAATAAATATATAGATAATCAAGTTATAAGCAATCTAAATTTGTGGTAAATGAAATGAAACGAAAATAAGATAAAAATTTATTTTTATTCCACTATTGTACTACTTTCGCTTTATTTAATGCAAACTTGAATTGCAAATTTATTTATAATTTAATAAAAATTATTTCTTAGCCAATATTTTTATATAACAAGTTTTGTTTGTTATCACTTTTAAAATCAATGTAAATATATTTGTATTAATATTTTGTAATAGTATAAATAGTATATAGTATATATATTAAATTTATTTCAATAAGCAATACATTGTTTTTACTTAATAAATTATTTTCTATCATATTCAAATTTTAATACGAATTTCATTACTCATTATATATTAAACGCGCATGTTTACAATCTAAAATAAATCTCTCCTCAAAGACAAATTTGTTAAAGCCAAAAAAAAAATTTTTGACATTCAAGTATAATTTTTTTTAGTATATATATTTGAATCAAACAAAAAATAAATCTCGAAGAATTAAAAAAAGAAAATCGATTAAATTAAAAACAATAGCACGAACAACTTGCGAATACGGAGTAATCAGGTCATCATGGCGACTAGTTCGGTTTCCTATATCGATCGAAATGCCAAAACTATTCTAGCAATCTATAAACTTAAAAATTAACATCTTAAGAGATTGCA